TTTGGCTGCAATACACCTCATCAGCCGATGCTCGAGAGGACCATGTCTCTCATTGGTGTTTTGTGCAAATCTTAGCTTACTGCAATTCTGGTGGACCAATCCATCGTTCGCGTTCTACATCCATTTTTTCATTGACTAAAATGACTGAGCTCGTTGCATTGAATCCGGCTTTTTTGTATTGTCCTACAGTTCACCAGTAGCCCAGCTCCCTCTACATGTCTTCCACCTCCCCCTTCCATTGGAGACAATTCCGTAACCACGAATTAAGTCTTTAGGGCCGTCACACCGTTTCACGCACTATGCATCCATTGTAAAAGCCTTTGCTCCGAAATGAGAAGCAGATCGCTACACCTTTTGCCTTATGCAGGACTTCACAAGTCGGAACCCTTCGGTGTCCCCTTGGAAAATGCCACAATTGCCCAGTCAAACACGGATTGGGAACAATGAGGCTGGAGTGGAGGAATATTCTTGATTTTGCTTAATTGCTTGATAAGCACGAATAAGTGGGCGAGGTATTCCAAGCACGACTATAAGTTGTGCGGACATGGATGTTCATTTGCCACCATCGTTACTAACGCAATGCGGTTTGTAATGCACTGCTCGAGAAAGTAGCAACGATATTTCGATTTTCATTTCAGTGTCCCAGTGCCCTCATAACAGCAGCCATCGTCTCCCAATTTACACTGTCTGGTCATTGGATCGCCGTATACACGGCCTGTGGATGTGCCTGTCTCCTCGGTAAGTAAGTGGAGTGTTTCGAGGTAGACGTGTCTTGCCTCCTGTTCTATAGTGCTGATCTTACCCAACACCTAGGTCTGGGTTTCAATAAGAAGTTGAATCGGATTAACCACTCCAGTAGGTGTCTTGTCGGAGCTACGGGCTTGTGAGGCGGCTGCTTACCATCGTAAATTGCCTATTTCGAGTCGCTTTTAGACGGTCGCATCGGTGGAACCGTCTGTGTTTGGAACTCCCTTGTTTAGTCGAAATTTACCATTCCTATTCATATATGATTTTGGGAGAATACGTATCCTTTGGGAGCGGTTCATGTAACAATGGAGATTAATTTTGTTTTTTTGCCACTGTTTTGTGATCGCATTTCAGTGAGTTACTGAATTTGAGTTTTGTCGCGATCACTTGTTTACATTTGTGTTATCTTTTACGATCAGATGTGGGGTAATTGTTGCATGTATTTCTTAACCTGAAGTTTCACCAGCGTTACTAAGAGTCCGGGTCTTTCTACTCGGTTTTTAAAATTTTCTTTCCATCTTTCTTTCAATCATCAGACGGAATGAGATTAGCACCGTTAGATTTGCTCATGATGACCTACGAAGTACCTTTTGCATGCGCTTTGTTGTGGTCGGATGCCCCTCTCAGTCCCCACTTAATTTCGTGTGTGCACGTGTTTGATGGGTGTAGATTCAGCTGAGTAATTTCAATTGTTCCCTTAAACCCGAACAGCTTAAGGCCGCCCCTTTACTTGGCAATCTTTAGGCTGTGCGAATTTTTGCAGCGTAGTGAATCGTCTGGTACAAATTCTCTAAAATAAGTGATCCCAACACTGAGCAAAGGCGCCATTCCCATGCCACTCTTCACATGACAAACTGAACGAGAAGACGTGCACTTGATTTTCAGGGTGAAGGGAAAGGGAGGAACAAGGGTAGGGAGCTTTAATGGGCAGAAGATAAAGGGTTAAAATGGGGGTCTGTGGATCCTCCCTCATTGTCTGTTAAACATAAATGTCTAATTTTGCTAACGAGAGTGACGAGTTTGGTTTAAGGCCATGACGTCAGTAAAAAACATCTTTTTGTATCACTATATTTTCTGAAGTGGCCTGGATCGCTTACTCACCCCTCAACTTATTTAAAAGCGCATTCTCTCTTCAAAGCTCCATCTACCTTCGGTTAGGTTTCAACATAAGTGGCTGCTTTCAAGCTGATCTTTTACATTTCAGTCTACAAGTGCCTACTTGCAAAACGCTTTTAGGAATGGCTCAGAATTTTGACGACTGAATATTCGTAGGAACAATCGTTGTTGTCACTTTTATTCAAATCGGAAGTCAACGCGTTTGCTGAGTAAAAAATGAACTGGGTGCACTAAGGGAGTTAATTTGTCAGTTTATTGATGCTGGGATTGGTTCACTTGGCTTTCACTGACCATGTCGAATAAATAGTCTGTAGACTTGTAAATGCAATTCCTCTCCAATATTTGCTGATTGGACTTCAACGTTTGTCCGTTTGTTCTTCAGCATAAAGAATCGCCCTAATTCACCGCTAGAACAACTTAGCCGGTTTTTAAGAAGGCGATGGAGGTACAGGTTTATCAGTACTCGGGCTAAATTATAGGCTTTCAAAATAATGTTGCAGCATCTCTCTCTTTTTTGAATTGTGCAAGTTCTCCAAAAGATTTATTCTAAAACGGCAAAGTGAAAATGTATGACGTTGAAAGAAGTCATCTATGGCCTACAATGTTAATTCAGTTGAGTATGTAAACAATCCAGGATGGTTCTGTATTACCCTTAATATGTTTTATAGCTTTTGTCTGCGCCCTATTCATCCGTGACAAAGACGCACACTGCGTGGGCTTCACCAACAATATCTGCGCTGCGATTTGCGATCCCTTCCGCAAAGGTCATTTAGAGGAGGAGATGGACGATTCCTACGACGTTTTCGAAGCTGACGTGACCCCATCAATAAACTTGCAAAAAAATGCCTAAATTCATATTTAATTGCCTCCTTTTGCTAATCATGGAAAGAATAATTATAGCTCCCCTTATTTGCACCTTTTTGTTCTCATTGAAGCGACGAAGAGGTGGTTGTCCTATTGAAAGGTTTTACAAGTGATACGGAAGTGAGATTCAATTATGCATGAACTTAGGGGCGCGCGGACCGCTCAGCGGCGCCATTTATACAATAGGATCCACTGCAAGTTAGCCTCTGATATGCTTCAGTAATAATACCTTGGTTTGAGGATGTAATGAGGACGTGTATCAAAATAACAGCGGAGAACAATGCTTAGCTTACCTACCTGTTATCAGGTAGCTGCGATCGTTCCGGAAACAAATGCACATGTAATTGAGCGTCTTGAAAAGTTAATAAAAGAGACAATGAGAGTGCCGAGGAAAGGTTAGGTTAGGTCTTCGTGATAAGAAGTGATCGCCTGTAGTTCACTTTCTTTAGACAACATTGCCATTGAGATTGTGGAATACGACGCTTCATGGAAGATACTTTTATGAACATGATTATAGCTTCAGACGAAGTATTTTTATTTACAGATCGCCTGTATGATGCCGTGCTTCATTTCTAAACCGAAAAAATCTTATTTGCTTGAACAATTAAACGGCAATCAGATTGTAACATTGTCGATCCATTAATTTTTCCGACAATCTTTAAGCTACATTGAGTAAATAGCAACGAATTCGTATTTGGAACTTTACCTCATCGCGCATACAATTTTGCTGTTACTCTGTACGTAGAGGGCGACTCTTAAATAATTCCCCTCTTGATATTCCTTTTTCACCTTGGCGCACTGTTTTACCAAACCTTTTAGATTAAAAAGAAATAAAGATGTCTATTTAGTGTATAACGCCATTCGTAAGGAAGTCGTGGCAATAATGCGAAGCGAAATGCATTTTTGTAGGGGATAGTAGTGTTTCCTGGCATTTAAAATACGAACTTATGATTTATGCAAATCTGGCTGGCTACTCTCAGCATTAATCCACAAGACAAAGGTAAGAGTAGCTGAAAGTGGATCTAGCATAGTGTACGGGCTGCAGTGACTGAGATTATTACAGAATATTTTATGAGGTTAAGTCAAAGATTTTACATGTATTGAATACCAGCGCAAGCTGTAGGCAAGGCTTAGAAGGATGACAAAATTATGAATCAAGGTACGGTAACGGTCCATATTCCCATTGAATTGTAGTAAAATCACAAGTTCGAAAAGTAACGACTCCAAATGATCACCAAACAAGTGCTTTGGAGTGGATTTCAGATGTTAATGCAATTTCAGGCAAAAAACACCAATGAGAGACATGGTCCTCTCGAGCATCGGCTGATGAGGTGTATTGCAGCCAAA